GGGGGCTGACTGGGTTATGAAATCCACGCTGTTCTCGTACTGTCCATTTGTGGTCTGCTGTTCTCTCTCTGCTCCTGGTCAAATCAAACGGAGCAGCAGGATGGACAGTTCTTTGTCTGGGTTCACCTCCCAAGCTCCCAGTGAAAGTCCCTTCCCACCTGGTTGCTGGTGGAGTTCAGATCCCTGTTAGCTGAATGCCGCTGGAGTATCAGTCACTGCAACACCACACCGTTGTGTCTGCTGCTTTCTTGTGTCTGTCAGTCTCCAGGTACTCCTCTGCTGTTGTACTGTCCTTTGCTATTTCCTGAAATATGTCCTCTCTGCTTCATCCTGATTAAATGTTTTTTTCTGTCTGTCTAAACATGTCCTTACCCTATGCCGGCATCTTGATTCTCCTCTAGAGTTTCAGTTATTTGTGCTTGATTTCTGTGCATATCTAGTAGAGGGCCATAGTCAAAGTAGTTGTTCAACAAATGTGACATTAAAATTGAGTGGCATTGCTTAGCTTTTACTTTCAGCGAATTCTTGTACCTGCAGGGCTGTAACTTTTTGAAAGAAGAGCAGTCAGCTTTGTTTGCTGGTTTTGTAACAGTTCAGGATATCTTTTCATCTCTTCTGTTAGGAATGGCAAGAGGGAAGGATTAATTCCACTTATTGGTATCATATTCTGTATTGTGTTGTTTTCCTTTTAAGAATCCCTGTTTTTTTTTTTTTTTAAGCCCAAATATTTACCTTCCCACCAAGCATAAAACCTGTGGTCCTTACTACAGTCTATTTTTTAGAAATAATTTAAAATGTTTAAAAGTTTATTGGAAAAGTAGACAGTGTGTGTGATCCTCTGCTCGTTGGTTCACTTCCTAAATGCCCATAAAGGCTGAGGCTGGGCCAGGCTGGAGGGAACTCCCTCTGGAGAGTGCAGGAACCACCCAGGGTACACATCAGAAGTGGAGGAAGGACTCATTTCTAGGCACTCTGATGTGGTATGTGGATGTTCCAAGATACCACTGTGCCACAACTTGCTGTGCCACAACTTCTGTTCCATTGCTTAAAATGTTTGATTAGCATGTGGTATTTCATGGCCTCCTGTAGTCTAGCCTGGTTCATTACCCTTACTGTTGAGGAAGAAACAGTAAGATTTTATGTCACATTGCCAGGTGACATTGTGATGAGATTACAATCCATTATTTCTTGATTGCTTTTTTGCTATTTTGGAGGCTGGAAGTGGGCATACAAAGGCAAACAAGAGACAATATATGCAGTTGATCTGTCAGCCAGTATTCATTGACTACCCACTGTCTGTGGCTAAAGATGAACATTTTGGAGAAAAGCCACTGAGTGGTTATGAGTCCTTTAAAGCAACACCCCAGGAGCCGGTTGATGGTTCAGCAAATGAAGCCAATACCTGTGACACTGGCATTGCATGTGAGCACACGTTTGAGGCTCATCTTCCCCAATTTTTAAAAAAAGATTTTATTTATTTTATTAGAAAGTCAGATATACAGAGAGGAGGAGAGACAGAGAGGAAGATCTTCCCGTCCAATGATTCACTCCCCAAGTGAGCTCAGCAGCCGGTGCTATGCCGATCTGGAGCCAGGAGCTTCCTCCAGGTCTCCCACATTGGTGCAGAGTCCCAAGGTTTGGGCTGTCCTCGACTCTTTTCCCAGGCCACAAGCAGGGAGCTGGATGGGAAGTGGAGCTGCCGGGATTAGAACTGGTGCCCATATGGGATCTTGGTGCATCAAGGCAAGGACTTTAGCTGCTAGGACAGCGCACTGGGCCCCTTCCCTATTTCTCAGTTATCTTTCTGTTAAGGCACCTGAGCAGCAAAGATGACCCAAGTGCTTGGGCCTCTGCTGTCCACATGTGAGACTCCTGGCTTCTGCCTTGCCAGTCACAGCTATTGTAGTCATTTGAGAGTGAGTCAGCAGATGGAAAATCTGTTTTTGTCCTTTCTCTCTGTAGCTCTTTCAAATAAGTAAAAAAATCATTTTTAAAATTAGTTTAGGCATCAGTTCTACCATGATTTAGTGTTTCAAATATTAATTTGCCTTAAAGTTCATTGTCAGTCTTAAACACTTCTCTGTTTAAAAAGAAAAAGTTGAATTTTGAGGTGATATTTTTTTCTAGTCCCACCTCTAGGGATCACAGTTTTAGTTGATTTTTGTAGGGCAAAGAATTGCAATATTTAGGCATATTTAGCCTCATTGTTAAAGTCAGAATTTTCAAATTTTACTTTTTAAATTTCAGACAAGATTCATATTATCTGGATTATCCAAGATCTCTAATGGATTACACAGCTTTAAGACACTCCTTAAAGTGATACTCATGCTTTACTGTCGTTCTTCTCCAGGTGTGATTCCTCAGTCCTGCAGTTTCAGCATCACCCGGGAACTAGCTGAAAAATCAGAAACGTGTGTGTTGGGGTCAGAGGAGAGTCCTGCTTCATTGTAACTAGCCCTTTGGGTGACTCTGCTGCAGCTTTGAAAACTAGAGTTAGTAAATGTTAAAGGTTCAAGGTAGCATGATCTCACAAATCAGCCACATAGCATTAATTATTAGCTTGGTAACCCCACCTCTTCTTCCTGCTCTGCGTTGGATTGGCTCACCAAGCCCAGGCTGTAAAGTTATTTGCTAGGTTGATTGCCACATATTGACTTTGGGTTGTTTGTATTTCTCTGAACCTGTCACTGTAATGATTTGCCAGGACACTTAATAGGAACTGTGATTTTTTTTTTTCAACCACAGCTTTCTGAGTCATGGGTGGTTGGGTCCTGATGCCCTCCTGGTTTCTGTAGGCCCCAGCCATGCCATTCATTTACTTTTAATGAGGGAGGTGTCACAGTTGGATCCTAAGGGACGTCCAGGAGCATTTAGTCACCCTCAGCTTGGTTGACGTAGGGAAGCTAACCCCCATGAGATTGAGCGGTTGTTCGCAGCTGCACAGATAGTTAAGGGTAGAGCAGGATTGCAGGTCTCCTGCAGAGATATGAAGCCATAGCTTGTGCCTGGTCTGCATGGCATTCCTTTCCTACAGATTTTTTTTTTTTTAACAAATAGTAAAAATGCTAGGAAGTTATCATTGAAACTAATAAAAATGTCTAAAGGGGATGAGAAAAAATCAGTTTGAGAACTTTGGTATGGAGGAAATAACCTGACATTAACTGTTTTAATTATAGTTGTTGCTTTGGGCTTATCAGTGTGGGAAGAGGGAGCATTTGTGCCTTACAGGGAAGTGGGAGATGGACAGCAAGATGCCCCTCTTCCTGAACCTGCCTGCAGCCCAGTGACTGCTTGTGTGAACTTAACAGCTGTCATGAGATCTGGTCCCATAGACTCTGCCCTGCCACCAGCTGAGGGAGAGGGGGGTGAGGAGTGACACTGCCTCACCTCCTGATGAAAGGATATAATAACCGCCTCCCCCATCCTGAAAAAACAAGTATCAGGTGTTGGGAAGCAATGCACTGACTGCAGACTTCTTACTTTTAAATGTTGTCTCTCTGACAGTGTGAGTTGGCAAGCCATTTATTCCTTCTGTGTTCTCATCTATGGAATGGGTACAAGGAAATTAAGTGTGGAGAAGTTGTGGAAATTGATTAGTTGATCTGTGTTAATTGCTTAGAACAGTACCTGATATTTAGTAAGTGCCACCTGTCAACTGCTGCTGTACTACTTTTAAAAATAACATTTGAAGAGTGAGATGGAATTTCTGTAAGTGTGTTCTCATGATTGCATCACTTGATACAGTACTGTGCAAACAAGTACTCATGAGATATCATGAGAATGGAGTTGTTCCTGTGGCCAGCTTTTGCCGGGTCCCTTCTTTAAAGAGTGGCTGATTTTGATGCTAAGGACAGGCACAGTTTATGCATAGCATGGTATGGCTAGAGGAAATTCAAAGGTAGGGATTTCTCAGTTTTGCTTTTGGGTATTTATTGATGAACTGTTGTTAGAAGTGGACATCTTAATGGCCTACAATAAATTGTTCATGAATTTCAATTTTGATAGTTTTTGTTGAAGTAGATTTCTTTCTGATTCGTTTTTCTACCTCTTGTTAGGACTCTTGATACACATTTTGATGGTGGAAATCCCAACTATAAAAGCCAAACAACCAAGATACTGTAATTATCCAGTGATTGAGTAGAGGTTGTGGGTAGACTTCTTCCCTCCCAGCAGAAGCCAGTGGAGCCTTCTACTGCAGTTTTTCATGAGCCACATGTTTTTGGAAGGGGATCAGATAGAAAGCACTTTTTCGTTGTCTCTCTAAGAGACTGGGGGGGATCCAGAGTTTGTTTTTTTTCTGTGTATTAAACTAATTTTTCATTTTATTTGGTTTCTATTAACTTCATGATTAACTTCCCATTTTTATGTAAGACCCTTGGAAATTATGTTTTATATATTTATCTAGTAATTTCTCTCTTGTTTTTCTGAATAAATTCTAGTATAGTGTAATGCCTGCTTGCTAACAGTCTCCCTTTTCTTTCTGTGGATCCTGACGTAGGGCTTAGTACAGTGCCTACGAGGCTGGCCGAGTTAGTCTGTTGGACGAATATTGTTGAAGTTTCTGCTTACTTTTTGAAGTGGCCTGTTTTAAACTTCGTCTTCCTATCCTGACCTAGTGTCTGCCCAGATCTCTCTAAACATTTTGATGAATCCTTCTTCCGAAGTCTCCAAAATCCCTAATGACAATGGCTTGCTGTGGATGTTACAGCTTTAGTTTTCACTGGAAGACAGTGATGTAATAACTGGAGATATTGAAGCCCAGACAAGTAAGAGCAGCATACAAGACTGTGAAAGTTATTCTGCTACGAGGTTTTTTGAATGATTTTTTTTTTTTTTTCCTCCTGGCAGTAAAAGTCAAAAGATGAAAAACCATTTAAGGGAACCTAGGTCAGGGTGGGTGCGAGAATAAACGTTGACTTGAAAGAGATCATTTTTTTTTCCAGTGACTGAGGGTTACAATTAGTGACTTAATACTAATGTGTATTTATTTTTATTTTTAGCTTTGCAGTGTCGAGATGGCTATGAGCCCTGTGTGAACAAAGGAATGTGTGTTACCTACCACAATGGCACAGGATACTGCGAGTAAGTTTTTTTTCTTCGTCTATATGTGTGTATATATATAAATGTATTTGCACACATGTACATGTGTATATTTTCCTCCCCACAATAGGACATTGGACCCTCTGTGAAATGTTACTGGTTCACAGACTCTTCTGTTGTAGTCTTTATGTGTGTCTATGTCTAGGGATTGGGACGGGAGGCTCTGGATGCCATGGTTAGCAAAACCTTTTTCTATCCTTTTTTTTAATTGTGTATTTTTTAATAGTTGAGTGCCATTTAATATCTTAGTATATTCTCTTCTGTCTTATGGTTTTTAGGGCATAGCCTTAGACTCTCTCCTCAACCTGTGAGCTGTGATTTAAGTCAAACTGAGTAATAGGAACTTTAATTGTGCCCAACATCAGAGTATATTTTATCACATGTTTTTCCTAGTGTAAAACAATCCATTTCTGACAGTGAGTCTGTGAGAGGAAGGTGTTATACGTATGTGCAGGATGAGGTGAGGTGTAAGGCTGTGAGTTCCTGGTGCTCAGAGGGTTTCTTTGTTTCCAGTCATCTAGCTAAGTCAAACTTTTTGTTTATTTCCGGGAGTCTGTGAGATAATTTCATGAACACTTCTCTAGGTTTCTTTTTTCTTTCACCTCAGTTGAGATTTTTTTGGTAATAACATATATCCATTGTATTTATTCTTGAAAAATAGGAGAATAAGATTTGAGTATATAAACTTGAGTATATAAAATTTGAGTACATAAAATAGTTTTATCTTTGCTTTTCTGAAAAGCATTTTCAGTGAATTTGCCCAGCATGCTTTTATTTCTCCTCTGGAAGTTTAATTGTATACCATAAATATAATTGTGACACTTTTTTTTCTCCAAAGCCCATTTTGATACCAGAATCTAAGTTCTAAGAATTTTTCCAATTTAGAAACAATTTTCTTCGCCAAAGGGAAAATATTTGAAGCTGTGATAACAGTCAAGCTTAACAATAGATTGTATTGGAATAAAGATTACATTGGAAGTGAAAGATTTTGTGTAACTGATTATGGGTGGCCTACTTACTTTATCTAGCTGGAAAAAAAGTGATACATTCCCCTCTATGAGCAGAAATTTAACTGAAGATAATAATACCTTAGAATTGGCCACTGAAATCTTGTTTAGTTTTTTTTGTAGCATTGGATCCTTTTTATTTTTAGAGATTTATTTATTTTTATTGGAAAGGTAGAAATATAGTGAGAGGGGAGTGACAGAATCTTCCATTTGCCAATCACTCCCCTTATGACTATAATGATCAAAAATGAGCTGATATGAAGCCAGAAACAACTTCTGGGTCTCCCACATGGGGTGCAGGTGCCCAGGCACTTGGGCCATCGTCTGCATTCCCTGGCCATAATCAGGGAGCTGATGAGAAGTGGAGTAGCTGGGACATGAACCAGTGCCCACATGGGATCCCAGAGCTTTGCAAAGGGATGATTAGCCAATTGAGCCATTGTGCCAGGTCCCCATTGGGTGCTTTATTTAGACTGTTGTTCAGTTCTCCTGTGGTAGTAACCCTTTACATTAGGATCACCTATTCATGTCTTTATTTCTCCCACTAGACTGTGAGATTCTGCTCTTATGCATTTATTTGTAGCTGATACCTGGTATAGTACCTGATATGTAGCTGTTGTTCAGCAGTGTGCTTCTTAAGCTAAAAAATGCTTAATAAATATCATAATTCACCTATTTTTTATTTGTTGATCTTAAACAATAAGGAATTGGCTCTTTGAGAATTTAAAGCAACTTTAAATTGATATATATTATTTGTACCCATTTGTAAGATTTAGTGTTACAGTTCAAAACATCTACATAGTTTGTAATAGTTAAATCAAGATAATTTCTAGTTCCTGAAATGTTACCATTTTTTTGTGTTGGGAATATTCAGACTCTTCTCATAGTTATTTTGAAATGTGTAATTATTTATTGTAGCTATGATTATTACCCTTCTGTGCTATACAGTGATAGAATTATTTCCTCTCTAACTTATCACTCTTTGGAGAGTTTTTGTGTCATCCTGTATCCAGCATGACACCCAACAGAGAGGCAAGTTAGTTCTATCTGAAGGTAATTCAGCTTGCTAGAATTTGAAATAGGTTCTAAATGTTGGCTTATGTTTATCATCTGACATTGAGAATGGTGCCTGGTCTCTAAACATGTGCCAGGAGAGGACCCCAAATGTGTTTTTGAGGAGGAAGCAGACTTGTTGCTTCTGTTCTTAAAGTCCAGCTTAGGATGGAGAGGTAAGCTTGCCTTTGTGATTAGTGAAGTCAGAGCTGTTTCTTCAATTCTGTCTTTGGTTGCTTGTTGTTGATAGGATGGAATGCTTATGGTTAGAGTTCTAGGGCAGGTGGCATCCCTTCGATGGCTGTTTCTTTGAGAAAGGGAGAGTTAGGAAAAAAAGTAGTGAGGCCACCCTTTTGGGAGATCAGTGTTAGCCAGAGCAGTTGTAAAAATAGAGTATTTCAATAGCTCAGGAGAAGTAATATCAGCATTGTTAGGAGTGGCAGGGTCAACATAAGTGGTCCTGGGTAAAGCAAGAAACAGTAGCGAAGAGGCCAAGTCAGTCATTCCTGTGGTGCTGTGCCAGACTCCACAGAGGTGCAAGCAACATTCTAATCAAAAATAAAGTGTCTTTAGAGGTCTTTTAGCATTTTCTTGGCCAACTTTGCTTTTTTCCCTGGGTGAAAAAGGTAATTTATCTTGTTCAGTAAATATTTTCACGAACTAGTAAATAAACATTGAAACACTTGGAAGGTGCAAAAAAAAAAATCATATCAGGCTTGTAGGGCATGTGGTTATCTTTTATTCATGAGATTGTCTAGTGGATTAAGAAGAGAAAGTGGAAGCCAAATTCCTTTCTTGGGGGGTGGGTGGGAACTGATGGAAAATGTTTTAAACTAGAAGGTGTCTGATTGTTTGAGGTAGTGTCATGCTACTGATTCAGCTAAAATATAATGATTGTTTATAATAATTATACAAATCCCTGATAAGATCACATTGACAGATGAGGATAAGTGTTTTCAAAGTTTAGTTTTGAACATAGTTAAACTGGTTTTTTTCCCCTCACTGTTAGGAACCTAAGTACTGCATTGGTCTGTGATTAGACTTGATGCCAGTTGAGGAGAACCTGTGTAATCTTGCATAAAACTCAATTATTGCTGCTACATAGCTGCTGTCAGATCTTAATGAAGCCCTCTCACTGCAGAGAGAGGACATTTTATCCTTTCTCTTGTCCTACTGGGAGGTGTAAATATATAATTAATCTTGGGTGTCATTAATCACTTTTCAGATTATTTGCTCCAGGCATTCAAATTGAAGCCATTGCAAATCCTAGTTTGATTAAAAACCATGGCCAGCTCAAGTCACTGAAGTTCTGGGGTTGGAGAGCTTTTGATCCGTGCTCTCTACAAGATGTGTGTATTTTAGGAATCTAAGTGTCCTGGTTATTTAAAGCCCTTGTCTACCACTTCATATCATGTAAGTTGTCTGTGATCATGTTTCTGTCAACTATCCTTTCTCTATGAGTACAATTTCTGTTGACAGTTCATGAACAGTAAGTAAATTTTAATTACTCACTGTATATTGTGAGTGGTGCATTTTAAAGTTTATCTGCCACTAAAGTAAGTTGAGTGTGGTCCTGGTGGGAGGGAAAGTTGAGTATGGTTACTGGCAGGCCATGCTGATTCTGTGTAGAGGTTTGGTCTTTGGCTTTGTTATGGTGGGTTTACTTTGGTTTTACCCTTAGTCCCACAATACAAGTATATCTTAGTCCTGGGAAATGGTCTTTATTCTCAGGATATGACCCTTCACAGAGTTTAGTGGCGAGTTTATTAAGCTCTGGGTGGCCTGTTAAACCCCTCTAATTTGGCAGGACTTGAATTCTAAGTCTGTCTCAGCATTATGAGTATTCTGTTTAGTCTTTGCAGCCTTCGTCCTCCTCTTCTTCCCTTCTCTTGGTTGACTCTGCTCTTGCTCATGCACAGCCAGGGATCACTTGAGGATCTGAGCAGAATGGAATGTATACTTTGAAGCCACCCCCTCCGTCTTTCCCAGGACTTCTCCCTCCTCCGATTCCAGCTGCTTTGGCAGCTCCAGATGCTCTGACTTCTCCACCCAGGACCACTCCCATTTTCTGCTCTCAGGCCTTTGCTCTTACATTGCCTGGACAAGGGAGTACCTTCGGGAGACTACAAGGTAAATGTGGGTTTTACCCCTTCTAGGTCTGCCTGCTTATGTCTGCTTTCTCTCTACTGCCTTTAATGTTTTGTTCAGAATTTATAATACCTGTGAACAAGAGTGTTGGTTTGCTGTAAATTACTTGGCCCAAATTTTTATTGGTAACAGAAATGTAAGAGGAGCTTTGAAAATTTCCTGCCTACCACTTAGGACATGAGGTGTTCAATCCACTATGAAACAATGTAACGCCACCATGTGTTATACAGCACTTGAGAATCTCAACTCTTTGCCAGCATATCCATGTAAAAGCTAAGAATTTAAAATTGTTTGTGAAATGGAATTGCAGGATATTCATGAATTATTTTTGTTAATATTCATGTCCTGCAAACTTTTTTGTGACTCCCCGTATGCATAAATTCTTTTTGGGAGGCTCCAAAATAAGCTTATTCTTTAATTTCATTTCCACAGACTTTCTGAAGCATGGTTATACATCTTAAAGCGAATCACTTATCGTGTAAAATGGTATACGACTTCTTGTCACATTTTATCTAAAACTTGTGTGCTGGTTTCCTTGAATATTAACAACCAGTAATTTTCCTTGCCATGATTAGGAGTAATGTTGGTGGACCAGGCTTCGCAAGTCTGTCCCAGGAAAATGGAACCAGCAGAAGGGAGCTCTGTCTTTGCCTGTCCTTAAGAAGCAAAACTTCTTAAGTTTGAGAGAGAAAAAAAAAGGAAGAAAGGAAGAAATTGGAGTCATTGTGTTCTTTGTCCTCTTGATGAATTTCTGCACAGTGAGTAGGCAGTGGA